ATTCACTCACTCACTCTACTCACTCACTCGCCACACACACCTCTCTCTCTCTCTCTCACACACACACACACACACACACACACACACTCACTCACCCACTCACCCACTCACCCACTCACTCACTCAACCACTCACTCACTCACTCATTCATTCACTCACTCACTCATTCACTCACTCACCCACTCATTCACTCACTCACTCTCACTTTGTTATCATAGAGAAGTCTGTCCTGGAGTAACCGCACTGTGATTCGTACTTTACATACTAAAACCCTAAAACCCATGTACATACACATGTAGAGATATTGCATGTACATACACATGCAGAGATATTGCATGTGCATACACACATGTAGAGATATTGCATGTACATACACTGTAGAGATACTGCATGTACATACACATGTAGAGATGTTGCATGTACTTATACATATATAGATATTGTACGTGTGCATGTACGTGACGCCATGGCGAAAGTATAGTACCACTCGGCATTATACCTACAGATAGATGGACGGTGCAAGTTGGTACCATAAACACTGAACAGACCTTCAGATAGTATACTCGAATCTTGTTTTAGAATAAATGTTGAAAACTCTAGGAAAATAAGACGTTACATTGTCTATGGAAAAACACACAAGCAGAGTACCCGATATATACACCCACACATATTCACAGCCACACACACACATAGACACAGCCACACACACACACATACACATACACACACACCACACATATACACAGCCACACCACACATATATACACCCGTTGCTACATCTCAGTGTTTGTCAATAAGGCTACCTCAAGTACCAAATGGGCCTGCCCACCTCTACAAGACTATACCCACACCCACAACCGTCTAATCAAACCACTAACACTCTACAAGACTATACCCACACCCACAACCATATAATCAAACCACTCACACTCTACAAGACTATACCCACACCCAAAACAGTATAATGAAACCACTAACACTCTACAAGACTATACCCACACCCAAAACAGTATAATGAAACCACTAACACTCTACAAGACTATACCCACACCCAAAACAGTATAATCAAACCACTAACACTCTACAAGACTATACCCACACCCACAACCATATGACCAAACCACGGCAACATCGAACGCGTACACTTTTCTGTGCAGCCTCTTTCTCCTTTTCATCCTCCACCGTGGCGTTGTACTCTCTCACAAGCTTCTCGCGTTTCTGCTTAGACTCCCACACAGCTAGTTCGTGCTGTTCCGTTAGGGGGCGAGTGAGTCATATATGTATACGTTAAAATTACGTATACATTAAATATACGTATACATTAAATATCGATATCTTTTCTTCAGAATGTGCATTCATGTGCATATTGTACACATGTACATGAGGTCTCCTGTACAATCCCACACAACTGGAGCTGTAAGCTCAACAACGCCAAATATACTACCAGATATGTGGCATACATGATAATATACGTGACTTTAAATGCATGTCAGGCACATGACGATCACACACCTCACTTTGCCTACGTATGGCTTCAAATACTACCAAATATGTGGCATACATGATGATATACGTGACTTTGAATGCATGTCAGGCACATGACGATCACACACCTCTCGTTGCCTACGTCTGGCTTCAAATACTACCAAATATGTGGCATACATGATGATATACGTGACTTTAAATGCATGTCAGGCACATGACGATCACACACCTCTCTTTGCATAGGTATGGCTTCAAATACTACCAGATATGTGACATACATGATCATATGTCAGGCACATGACGATCACACACATCTCGTTGCCTACGTCTGGCTTCAAATACTACCAGATATGTGGCATACATGGTGATATACGTGACTTTAAATGCATGTCAGGAACATGACGATCACACTCACACACCTCTCTTTGCCTACGTCTGGCTTCCTTCTGCTCTCGCGCCTGTTGCTTCTTCTTACCCAAATGACCCACACGCCGTGCCCTTCCTTCATCTTCTGACTCCGAATCCGAGACTGTCATATCGGATCAGTTGGATTAGTTAGATTCTTTTATGAGTCACATGGGAATATATATATATATATACGTTGGTATGTATATACG